TTCCCACACCCAGACACAGCCCGCCACGGTGCAGGGCTAGCACAAATAAAATCGACTCATGTCGATTGTGCAAACAATGTAGTGAACGCGCCCATATCACAGTGCCCGCTTACACTACAAGATGCGTGTCCCTTGGTTTCTGTAAAAATGAAACCAACACACATTTAGTCGGCGCGAGCCGACAGTGTTCTCAGTGCAGTAAATGTGTCCGCCATCCCGCGCCCATATTCTCTCACAGACACGCCGAATCCCACGGGGTTCGCCCCGCTCGCTTTCTCTGCACTACCAGTCATAGAGAAGCTGAGCGCGGCCAGGCTGCCCGCTGTGATCAGTGCGCCCCCCGCCTCGCACGCTGTAAACACAGCGTTGAGTTCTCAGCACACCGAGGCTCTCGAGCCGCCGTCATGCCGTGGCCAGAGCCCAGATTTCATTCTACCTCTAGCTATTCACGCAGATGCGTGGTCAAAGCTCCCCGGGGTATCAGAATGGGTGCTGAACACTATAAAGAGAGGCTATTCGCTACAATTCGCTCAACGTCCCCGCCGTTATACAGCGCGCGTCGAAACGACGGTGAAAAACTAAGTATCTCATCTACTTCGAGCCGAGATAGCGAAACTACTGAGCAAAGGTACTATAGAACCTTTATCTCAGGCTCAGAGCGAAGGGGGCCTATACAGCAGATATTTTCTGGTACCGAAAAAAGATGGGGGTCTCAGACCCATTTTAGATCTGCGACAGCTGAACAGAGCGCTTGTGAAGCGCCAGTTCAAAATGCTCACAACCAGGAAAATTCTCGCGCAAGTTTGCTAAGAGGACTGGTTTATGTCAATAGATCTGAAAGACGCCTATTTCCAGATACAAATAGCGTCCCATTACAGGCGATTCTTGAGATTCGCCTTCGAGGGCCAGGCATATCAATACACAGTCCTGCCGTTCGGCCTGTCCCTAGCACCCCGTACATTCACGAAGTGCATGGATGCGGCTCTCGCACCCCTAAGACTCCGGGCCATGCGAGTTTTGAACTACTTGGACGATTGGCTGATTCTAGCTCGATCTCACTCAGAGCTCATAGAACACAGGGCCACATTACTCAAGCACCTCGGGAATCTGGGCCTCACAGTCAATTGGGCGAAGAGCTCACTGTCCCCCAGTCAGAAAATGTCTTTTCTGGGAACAGTGCTGGACTCGCTATCCATGACAGCACGCCTGTCACCGGAGCGCGGACTAGACATTCAGCGCGTCACGAAATCCTTCCGCCACGGCTCTATAGTCCAGCTCAAAAGGTTTCAGAAAATGCTGGGCCTGATGAGCTCAGCAGCCTCTGTACTCCAGCTGGGCCTGCTTCGCATGCGCCCACTGCAGATGTGGTTGAAAGCGCGAGTTCCGCCCCGGGCATGGACCGCTGGTCTGTTTCACCTCAGGGTCGATCTAAAGTGCGTTTCAGCTCTGGAACCTTGGAAAGTAACCGACTGGTATCAGTCAGGTGTGAGTCTGGGGACCTCCTCGAGTGTGCAGGTGGTGTCTACGGACGCCTCCACCTCGGGATGGGGACCGCTGCTCAAGGGCAGACCGTTCGCTGGCCTGTGGTCAGAACGGGAAAAGCTCCTTCACATAAACTGCTTGGAAATGATAGCAGTCGACAAAGCGCTACGGTGCTTCTGTCCCCAGATAAAAGGTCACCACGTCCTGGTCCGGTCGGACAACATGTCAGTGGTGGCATACATAAATCGCCAGGGCGGCATCAGGTCCCGAAACCTTTACAGGTTGACGGAACGCCTTCTGGTCTGGGCTCAGCACAACCTGCTCTCGCTGAGAGCAGCGCATGTGCCTGGTCACCTGAATGTGGGACCAGACAGAATGTCCAGAAACAATGTCCCAGCAGGGGAATGGCCGCTGCACCCGCAGAATATCCAACTGCTGTGGGAATCGTTCGGCAGAGCGCAGGTGGACCTGTTCGCGTCCCACGAAAACGCTCATTGTCCGAACTTTTTCTCGAAGAGCAAGGACGCGCTGGCCCACGTCTGGGCCCGCGTTCCCTTATATGCTTTTCCCCCTGTCTCGCTCCTGCCTCAAGTGTTGGAACGAATCAGGGAAAACGGATGCCCAGTGCTGCTCGTAGCTCCGCTCTGGACAAACCAGACCTGGTTCCCAGTCCTGATGCAGCTGGCCAGCACTGCCCCGTGGCCTGTACCACTGAGGAGAGACCTCCTCTCTCAGGCAGGGGGCTCGATTTGGCATCCTCGCCCGGATCTGTGGTCCCTGCACGCATGAGCCATCAACGGGTACCCGCTAACCTCCCGGAGGGAGTGTTAAACACGATCACGCAGGCTAGAGCTCCATCTACTAGACGGCTCTACTCCTCGAAATGGTCTGTGTTCTCTGCTTGGTGTCAAGCTCAGGGCTTTTCACCCGTAGACTGCGGGGTTACGGAAGTGCTTTCCTTCCTTCAAGAACTGCTGGATGAGGGCAGAACCCCATCCACGCTCAAAGTGGCGGCCATAGCAACGTTTGCAAAACCGGTGTCTGGCCAGTCACTGGGGAAGAACGACTTAGTCATGCGTTTCCTCAGGGGAGCTCGGAGATTGAACCCTCCCAGGCACCCTTCAGTCCCGATGTGGGACCTTTCCACGGTTTTGGAAGCCATGAAAGGTGCCCCATTCGAGCCAATCCATTTGTAAGACATGAAACATCTGTCTTTCAAAACGGTGTTTCTTATGGCTCTCGCTTCAATGAAGCGCGTAGGGGACTTACAAGTGCTTTCGGTAAGCGCGTCGTGTATGGAGTTTGGGCCTAATGACTCAAAGGTCATACTCAAACCTAGGCACGGGTACGTGCCGAAATCCCTCAACACACCGTTTAGGGCCCAGGTGATTTCCCTGTCCGCCCTTCCGGTTCTCAATGAGGAGAAGGACGCGAGTCTCCTTTGCCCTGTCAGGGCACTAAGAGCTTATGTGTCCCGCTCGTCTGGTTTTAGACAGACTGAGCAGCTTTTCGTTTTGTCTGGCGGACGTGCTAAGGGACTTGCCGCATCAAAACAGAGCCTATCCAGATGGATAGTCGATGCCATAGCGCTGGCTTACACCTCTAAGGGCCTGCAGTGTCCCTTGGGTGTCAGAGCGCACTCCACGAGAGGCGTGGCCTCTTCGTGGGCATGGTCTAGCGGGATTACCCTGCAAGATATTTGTACGGCCGTGGGCATTTATAAAATACTATAACCTGGAGGTCCCCGCCTTACAAGCGAAGCTTTTGGCGGTCTAGAATTCAGTGCTATCTGCCCCGCTGTGCCGGCCCAGATGCTGAGTTTGGCCTGCGTATCGCTCACTGCATACAGCAGCTCCACGAGTGTTGACACATGTATGGCCACCCAGTTTAGGCTGAAAGCTTTCACCCTGGCTGCTACTTTATAAGGAATGACGCTTCTAGCCCCTCTTCCTTCACTCTCTGTGAGTCTATGGTGATTATGCACTACATGCGCCCTGGGCTTCTGCCCTTGGGACTTTGGTGTTGGATCCCTGTATGCACGGGGTGTTACACTGTGTTCCCCATAGCGTAAGATATTACGCAGTACGAGAGAAACTCTCGTAAGAGAACGTACTCGGTTACTAACGTAACCTCGGTTCTCTCTAGAGAAGGAATGAGTACTGCGTATCTTGCCGTGCTTATAATACGCTCTGGTTCGCTTCGGCGATAAAAACCAGTTTGTATCAGCCTATCGACCTGCTTTAATAGGGCGAGATCACGCCTTTTCTGGCGGGACGTGACGAAGTGGGCGCGAAGTGCCCCCATTGGTCATGACGTTACGCAGAGCCGCTCTCGATAGGCTGCTGCTTTTGCCGCAGGGCAGCCAATAGGCGCGCGAGCTGCCTCGCCTATGTCTGCATGCTGCCGCAAAGCGTTTTACATTGATTAAAAATTAAGGATAATTTTTGGCTTCAATATCTCTTGGAAAAGAGGTTTTCCCCGTAGTGTAAGATATTACGCAGTACTCGTTCCCTCTCTAGAGAGAACAGAGGTTACGTTAGTAACCGAGTACGTTTTATGACAAACTGCGACTTTCTTGACTTTCATAATTATCTTTTAAATTGACAAACATCATATGTGTAATTCAGGGCACAGTTCAGACGGAATAAAAAGATAAGTTGTCTCTCGCCATTGACTACCATACATATTTTTTTCCGAAATAAGGTCCCATGAGCCGGAAGCGGAGGGGAGGGACTTAGGCTATGTGTTCTTCTGTCCGCTGTCAATCCCACAATGCACCACGCAAGCGTGAAGCTCAACTTGAATGAATTAGAAACGCTTGCTCTGCGCCAGTGGGCACGCACCGCAAGGACAACAGAAGACGACGACAGTAAGGACAACAGAGAAAGATGACAGTAAGGATGACTGTAAAGACGAGTCGACAGAACTAGACTACAGTAAGGAGACAGAGAAAGACGACATAAACAGAGAACATACACATCAACACCCCCCCCCCCCCCCCCACCCCCCACCCCACACCCCACACCCACACAAGAACTGTATTATCAACCTAAAAAATGGTAAATATTCACTTTACATCACTTTGTGGTGATTTTTCTGAATATCATAAACCACTGTTTATTTGCAGGTTTAATATTTAGGCTTGTGGATCCTACTTTATATTAGTTAGAATATAGTACTAAAAACACAATGTATGCATCATGTTATCTGTAGCATAAATAGTTTTATATTGCATTAGTGTTTGCAAAGTAATACCCAGGTATTCTAGATATTCAGTGTCTTTAACCACATTAAATCTCATTTCAAATGGGCATCACTTTGAGGAAGCAGGGGTAGTTTGAAGTCCACCGTTGCTAGGCTACATGTGGAGCAAGCACAATGTTTTGGCAAGCCTTTTGTCAAATTATGCAAGCGTATAAAAGATTTGCATGGCACGCATGCATTTTTATGGGCCTGTTCAGCAGAATAAAATCACATAAACTAACTTGCATCCAAAATATTACACAGGTTATACTCACCTAATTCAGACACAGCAGGATTAATCCTGACAGAAGAGGACAGAAGGAGGAGCATCTGAAGTGAACTCCATACAGGACGAGACATGCTAGCCCTCTTCATCTGTGCCTTTCAAACGAAGATAATCGTCCATAGCATCATTCCTCATCTGACCAAATGCATTCATGCACTGCAAGAAAAGCAAAGTTCTCATACTAATGCAGGATTTAACAAAACTCTTGCATTTCATAATCATTATTGACTAGATTAACAGATTTTTTTTTCAGTCATAAAGTAGCATAAATATCAAAAATGTCAAAACATACATACTTGTGCTGTGCCTCATTTATTGGTGTGAATGTATCTTCAAAGAACGAGTGCAAATCAGTCACTAACTCTCACACAGCACAGCAGCACCTCCTCTCTCTCCTCTCTCTCCTCTCTCTCCTCTCTCTCTCTCTCTCTCTCTCTCTCTCTCTCTCTCTCTCTCTCTCTCTCTCTCTCTCTCTCTCTCTCTCTCTCTCTCTCTCTCTCTCTCTCACTGCATATTCCTATTTTGGTTGTGTTTCATTACCACTATTATCATCACAGCCAGCCTTTGTATACTACAAACCTCTTTACTATCTTCAATAGACTGAGCACTTTACACCACACAGCAGCAAACCCTCCATTTACTGATCGTAACATGAAAAGAGCAAAAGCGCTTTGTACTTAGAGGATCAGTTAGAAAGCTTGTAAGGAAAGGTTTGTACCTGAGCACATAAGCTTTCATTGCTACTGTGTCTATGTAGGGCGGTCTTGGTTTAATGCTTCCCTAATATGGCCAGTACATGGCAGAAATGAGTGATGACATTATGCTGTAAATATGCTTACAGACATTAGAGTTCTCAGTATATTAGTGTGTTCAATGTCATGAAGATATCCATAGTAAAATATATAGAATTGCTCTATATTCTATACAGTATTTAATGCAATTACTTCAGAAGTAACTGTGACTGAATTAAATAAATAAAAAATTAAATAATAAAAAATTATTCGTCAAGGATGTAGAGTCACATTCAAGTTATTTTAAGGCATGAATAAAAATAAGTCATTTTCTTTTTTAGATAAGTCATTTTGGTGATCAAAGAAGAGTTTTAAGGGATACAATTATTGACAACAGGGGGGACTTTAAGATTAACAGATTCAAACATAATTTTCCATTCCATCTAATTGTTTAGAGCTAGAGTTGTTTTAATCGTCAAGACGATTAAAAAGAAAATCTAAATAAATGGTAAAAAAAAATTCTAGTGATCATCTAATAATTTTTAGAGTTGCTGTTTTAAATACGAATATGGTTAATTTCAGCCCATTCTCATCCCTAGGCGTCATGAAACTGACGCCTTGGGAATCATTTTGACCATGCTTCAATATTCGACGCTTTAGGCACCCTTTAGCGTCAGTTACATGACGCGATCCTAGGGCGTCATCTTACTGACGCTTTACCTTTAACGTCAGTTAGATGACGCTATCTAATCCTAACCCTACCCCAGACCTAAACCTACCCGCGTCATCTAACTGACGCTTAGGTAAAGCGTCAGTAAGATGACGCCCTAGGATCGCGTCATGTAACTGACGCTAAAGGGTGCCTAAAGCGTCGAATATTGAAGCATGGTCAAAATTGTCATTTTAGTGACGCCTTGGGGTGAGAATGCGTTGTTAATTTGTAGGGCATGTTTTAAGGCTATTTCATGCCTCAGTGTATGATTTGTTTTATATATTAGAAAATTAAAGTGCCCCATTATGCTATTTTAAAGTTTCCTAATGTTGTTTTGGAGTCTCCTACAACAGGTTTACATGCATTAAAGGTCAGAAAAACTGCTTCATTTTTTCATAATATACATTTGCACATCACCACATTTTCAATCTCGTCAGATGTCGATGATTGGTCTACCGCGCACAGCGCGCGTGTCGAAAACGAAAAACGCCCATTGCCATAACAACGTCAGCTCTGCTTGTCCTGAGGCTTCCTACATCGTAAACTGAACACAGTAACGAACAATGATGTCGATTTTACCATATCAATGCGAGCACGAGTGCCATGATGAAACATTAGGAAGAACTATTCATTCAACCCGAACCTCCATCTCAGGGACGACTCGAGCAGGACGTTTCTCAGTGATTCACTACTCAGTTTGAGCACTTCAAAGTGCCCCTATTATGGATTTTTGAAAATGACCTTTCATGTAGTGTGTAACATAGCTCTAAAGGAATGAAAACATCCTGCAAAGTTTTAAATCTGAAAGTGCATTAAGTTATTGTCTTTCAAAAGTAAGAGTCAACTCTGAGTCAACGAAATTAATCGTTTTTCAAACGTGTCATAAGCCGTTTCGTTGTGACATCAAGACGAAACATCATATTCCCCGCCCACTTATTGCGCGCGCAGACACCAGGGAACACTTGAACACCCTCAAACCGGCAGCTGATTCCTGTGGATACTGTATAGCATCATGTCGAGAAGATGCTGTGCTCTACAATGTAAAGACAAGTCAAGTCAAGTCAAATCTTCATTTATATAGCGCTTTTAACAATATAGATTGTTCCAAAGATGCTTTACAGTGATAATAGGAAATTAAAGTAACAGAGATTGTTTTGGCTTTATGGCAGCTCTAGAATAAAGTTATTTTCCAGCTAAAGTTAGTTTTAATTGATTCACTTCCGTTACAACGATCATTAGTTAACTCTTAAGTTCTCTACGCAAACTTTAAAAACGCGAACCTGTGAGTACGCGATGGCGTGCACATGCGTATTTAGAGTTCATTCTATAGGTATGCGCATTTGAATATATGTGCACACCGCGCAGACATGTAGTCCTTCCCTAAAAAAACAACCCTTAACAAACTACTTGTCTGGTCTTAAAATTTATAATACAGAATTGTATCGCCTGGCGTAGCCACGTGAACCGGAATTATCCCGACAACGATTATCTGTATAGAGGTAAAGCGAAGGAGGCCTTCACAGGGAGGGACTAGTGACACTTCAGGACTGTGTTGTCGTCGCGTCCAGACGTAGGTCCTTCATCAGATCTGGATATGGCCTGGATCCAGCGGACTGCGTTGAACCTCGGGATAAACAGAGAGACTAATGGCGCTTTTCCATTACCAGTACCAGCTCGACTCGACTCGACTCGCCTTGGCTCGACTCGGCTCGCTTTTCGCTCCGTTTTCCATTGCAGAAAGTACCGCCACAAATAGTACCCGGTCGTCATAGCGACGCCTTTCGTTCCTCGTTGCCTCATCAAGCTCTCGCTGGATCCTCTCTTCGGCAACTAAACAAAGGAATGTCTGCACCTCTTCGTTTGACCACGGCGTATTCTTCCGAGTTGCCATAATAACAGTAGTAAGTTTAGTAACTATCTCTGGCCAAACTATTTAAAAATGCCGGGGTTATTCTGGATACTCCATCTGGCGCGTGCAATGATGACGTAGTGAATAGTGACGATTCTCTCTGACCAATCAGCAGTCGGCATTGTTTTCACGTCACATTTTAGTATCGCCTTAGCTCGTCTCAGCTCGCTTAGAACCTCGCCGGAGGTGGTACGAAAAAAAGTACCCGAAAGCAGGTACAGGTACAACTTTTACACAGTGGAAAACCAAACAAAGGCGAGTCGAGTCGAGCCGAGCCGAGCCGAGGCGAGCTGGTACTGTGTAGTGGAAAAGCGCCATAATATTAGCGTAGATGCCATTCTTCTTATGATGTAACGAGTACATCAGGATTTATGGGAAGTGTTCCCGGTTCCGGCTGACCTAATCTATGCAGCCTAACATTGATTTATAGAAGTCTATAGTGTGTTATATGTATACAATGTCAAAGAGATGTGTTTTTAGTCTAGCTTCGAACTGACAGAGTGTGTCTGCTTCCCGGACAATGTTAGGAAGACTGTTCCAAAGTTTTGGTGCTAAATAGGAAAAGGAAAAGGATATTTTTTTATATCAGCTATGCATTCCATTAATTTTGTGAAATATAGAGCTGAGTATCATCGGCATAACAGTGAAAACTAATGCCATGCTTCCTAATGATATCTCCTAAGGGTAGCATGTACAGAGTGAACAGCAACTGTCACAATGTGGGTTTGTGTCCTGTCATATTCTATAGTTCCCTGTCTTGTCTATTAGTTATCCCTGGTGTTTCTGATTTCCCACGCCCCCTTGTTATCTTGTCTAGCTCATTTGTCCCTGATTATTTAAGCCCTGTGTCTCAGCCTTGTCTTGGTGAGTTCTTGTTTAATGTTTGACTGTTAACGCTAGTGTTGGTTGTTCCTGTTCTTGAATCCTGTTCCCGAGTCCTGTATCCAGTCTGTATAGTTTGTGTAGTCTGTTAAATAAAGCGTGTGCTGCATTTGGATCCTGCCTCATCTCTGCTTCAACCGCACTCTGTTACAGCAATGGTCCTAGTACTGAGCCTTGTGGTACACCATACTGAACTTGTGATCGATAAGACATCTCTTAATTTACTGCTACAAACTGATAACAGTCAGATAATCATGATTTAAACCATGCTAATGCAATTCCACTAAAGCAACATCATTTTCGAGTCTATTTAAAAGAATGCTGTGGTCAATAGTATCAAATGAAGCACTAAAATCGAGTAACATCAATAGCGAGAAACAACCACGATCGGATGATAAGAGCAAAACATTTGTGACTCTGATGAGAGCTGTCTCAGTACTATGGTACGGTCTAAATCCTGACTGAAAATCCTTGCAGATATAAATTTTTTCTAAAAAGGAACATAGAAGATACTGCCTTTTCTAGTATATTTGACAGAAAAAGTAGATTTGAGATCTAATTGACTCAATTCTGTACGATCAAGTTGCGGTTTTTTAACAAGTGGTTTAATCATAGCCAGCTTAAAAGTTTTTGGTGAATTAATGATATTGAGAAGAGGATCTATGACCTCTGGAAGTATCTCTTTCAATAGCTTAGTCGGCATAGGGTCTAACATACATGTCGATTTAGATGATTTAACGAGTTTAGAAAATTCTTCCTCTTCTATAGCAATGAATGAATCAAATTTTTTCCTTGGGTAGACTACAATGCACTCCCTGATGCGATTCTATAGTAGACGGTTGCATAGTTATAATTTTCTCCCTGATATTATCAATCTTGTAAGAGAAGAAGGTCATAAAGTCATTACTGTTGTGCTGCTTGGAAACTTCTGGGCTTGAAGCTTTATTTTTCATTAGTTTAGCAACGGTTTCAGATAAATACCTAGGGTTTTGTTTATTTTCTTCTAATAGGGTTGAAAAATAAGCAGATCTAGCAGCTTTTAAGGCCTCTCTGTATGCAATCGAGCTCTCCTTCCATGAAATGCGAAATACCTCTAGTTTAGTTTTCTTCCAGTTTCGCTCCATTTTTCTGGCTGCTCTCTTAAGGGCCTGCGTGT